GAACTTCTAGGACTAAGAAGTGTGGGGCTCATGTGTTTCGCTAAAGATGAGGCCAGTGGTTGTGGCCTTCACTGGTGTCAGCCCCTGTGGAGGGACTGTCCCGGCAGGGGCCTGGCCAGTGAGGTTCCCCCCTACTCAGAGCCTCTGGGCTGAGCTCCTCTGGCTACGTAGGCCATGTGCCCAAGGAGCCTGAGGCCCCCACTGCAAGCTAGGGTCTGCTCGGAGGCCCGTGTCTCCCTCAGCCCTGGAGGCCTCTGGAAGAGCCCTTTCCAGGCAGGTCCGATACTTGGGACGCAAACCCACTGTGATGCCAGAGGCCCAGGTCAGGCCACAGAGCCCAGTGTGCACGTCACAGGAGATGGAGACACCGTCCTCACTGGTCAGCTCGATCCTGGGCACATCCCTCCTCATCTTGGCAGGCGGCAAATCAGGGTCCAGACAGCTGTGCCCCGGCAGGGAGGAGTCATACAGCACGTAGGCCTGTGGGCCACATGGTGGCTGAGTCGGATGTGCAACCCTCAAGCTGATGTCAAGCTCCAAGTACCACCCCCTGGGGAGGCTTTGTCTCCTGCACCCCACTCTCACTGACCTGCAGGCTGGGCTCGAGGGCAAGGATTGTATGGTTCAGCTCTATGTGCAGGGCCCTGATGCCTGAGCCCACCTGGCGCAGCTGCAGAGAGAACATGTTGTGAGCAAAGTCCTTGGCCAGCAGGAGGCTGTTGCAGTGGGCACTGAGGTCCCACACCCAACCGTCGAAGGTCACCACATGCCGGGCCCCGGCCACCACGGCATGGTCTGGGGAGAGGAGCCAGGCAGGCTTAGCACCCGAGAGCCAGGACCTCAATGTCATGCGCCCCCACCTTGAGGGTGATTCTGCCTGTACCAGCCTCAGGCTGACCCCACCCAGATAAACCACTCCTGGCTCTGTATCAAGGGGCTGGGCTTGGGGCACATGCTCGTTACCCACACCGGGCAGCCCAGCCGTGGTACCACCTCTGCTTCACACAGGAAGAAACTGAGTCCTAGAGAGGTCAGTGGCCTTGTGGGTCATCCAGCAAGCCTGAGTAGGATGCAAACTTCCCCTAGGGTTCCTAGAAGAGCCCCAGTCCCAGGAGGGCGGTTGGCTGCAGGCCCACCCTCACAGCAGGTCTGGACTCAATTAGCGCCTTCCGCTGTGCTGCAACTGGAGGTCGGTCGGCCTTCTGCTTCCCCAGCAGGGCCCTCGGGGAGGGAGCTGGCCTGGAGCCCTAACTGCTCTGCACACCCTCTGCTGGGCCTGGGATCAGGTCTTAAATTCTGGACAGAGGTCAGGCTGTGTGTCCACAAGCGCCCTCGAGGCCTAGCACAGTGATGCTGAGCCTTCCAGGCTCCCAAAGAGCAGAGGGGCTCCCAGGGTAGGACTCACACTCCAAGGGGCTCCCCAGCAGGTGGTGGCGGAGCCCATACCACTCGGCCAGCATGTTGGCCCTGTACAGCTCTCGGAGCAGCCGCAGCAGCTTCTCCTCTACCAGGTAGCTGGTTACCTGGAGCACATCCAGGGTCTCGTCCGCTGCAGGCAGCAACGGCAGCGGCAGCGTCACCACCACTGAGCAGTCCCTGGAGGAACAGGGAGGAGCTGGAGACCCCGCCAGTCAGGGGTGAACCTCCCTTTGTTGTTTAGCAGGAGCATCGGCGCCCCTCTTAGGGCCTGGTCTGTTGTCACAAGCTGAGCGGAGGTGGCTGGGCATGCAGGCAAAGCGCCCTGGTGTCAGGACCCTGCTGTCTGGCCTCGTGCTGGGTGCCCACATGCAAGCCCTGCCCCAGAGGGCGTAGACACCCAGGCCCAAGCCTGCACGCTGTGTCCTGGGGGCACAGGGGCACAGGAACATCCACCATGGAACTGAGGCCGCTGAAAGTTCTGTAGTTGAGAGGAGGCCTTGGCGCCTTCTGAGGTTGTGAGACGGGGGTCAGGCCGACCTCAGCTCACAGGGACGGTGGAGGGGCCTCATTCCCCTTCTCCTGGGAAGTGGCCCAGAGCCCTGCCTGCTGCTTGTGCCCCTTCTCAGCACCCCCACCTGTTGGCGACGGCTCCCTCTCACCAGGTGGCCCCTAGTCCCATTTTCCTTCTCCACACAGGGGCTAAAGGGAGGGTTTTTTTGGTTTTTTTGAGACAGGGTCTCGCTAGTTCAGGGTAGTTCAGGCTGGCCTTGACCTTACTGTGTATCCCAGGCTGGCCTTGCCCTTGGGTGATCCTTCTTCCTCAGCCTCCCAAGTGCTGGGATTATAGGTGTGCACCACCACGCCCAGCCAAAGGAGGCTTTCTCTTATTTTGGTACCAAGGATGGAACTCAGGACCCTGCAGGCGGAGAACCACTGAGCTAAATCCCCAGCCCTAAAGGGAGCTTTTTAAATGAAAAGCTGGTCACATCCTTCCCCAATTCAAACTGTTCTGTGTGTTCCCGTCTCAGAGGGACACCACAGACTTCTTGAAGACCTGGGCCCCAGGAGCTATCAGTCCTAGGCTCATCTACTCACCCTCCTCCACGGCCTGCTCGGGTCCCACCAGCTTCCCGGGTTCCTCAAGCAGGCCTGCACGCGCCCGACCCGGGGCTTTTGCAGTGCCAGAACTCCTGCTTCACCTCCTTCGAGCCCTGGCTCACAGTCCACCTCGTCACCAGAGCCACCCACAGCTGTACCACTGATGGTGCCCCTCAACCCACAGTGCTGCCCGCCGGTGTACGTAGCACTTGCTCCCAACCTACAGGTCAGGACTGGTAAACCACGCAGCAGACCACAGCCAGCCCATGGCCTGGTTTTGGATGGCCTGCAAGCCAAAAATGGTTTTTACATATTTAAAGGTATTAAAAATAAGCTAGAATGTATACAGTCACAGAGCCTAAAATGTTCACGGTCGGGCCCTCAACAGGGAGGGGGCCCACTGTGTCCATCTCATTCAGTGCCCGAAATGCTTGCTTGGAGAAAGTGCTCCTAAAATACCTAAGGAATGAAGACTGGCCCTCAGTTTTCTCATCTGTAAAATGGGGACTGCAGATGCTCGTGGGGCAGGGCTGCTGGAAGGACTAAGTGGGCTCTAGGTGTAGAGGCGTTCGGCAAGGTGCCGTGTGGGCAGGGACACAGATGTCTCTCCTGGTCCCGAGTTACCTGGCTGAGAAGTGGAACATGCGCAGCAGGGGTCTGCAGAGCCACCTCAGTGCCCTTGAGAG